CCCCGCAATGCCACAACTCCCCCCCAACTACCTCCTTGAGGACAACAACCAAATCGACCACACCTGCTACGACACCACCCCCGATAACCTCAGCTTCAACACCCTCGCGCAGATCATTCATCGCGACGGGGAAATCCCCCGTTCATGTCCTTCTCCGGCCTCCCTCACAAGGACGTTTTCCTCTTCCTAACCCAGCTTCAGAACTCTTTTCACCTCCACCACATGCCCCTTGCCCACTGGCTCCCCATTGCCACCTCCCGCCTCCTCGGCAATGCAGCCAAGTGGTGGATGGCTGAAGTTAGCAATCGCCGAGCCTCCGGAGGACCACGTCACACCTTCCTCCAATGGGCCAACCTCCTCACTGCCACCTTTCGCCCCCAGAAAACCATTGACGACTACCTTGAACAATTCTGCCACCTCCGCCAGACCGGTCCCACGGACCACTTCGTCCAATACGTCCGCTCCCTCTGACACCACCTCCCCCACACCGTCATTCCCGACTGTGCGTTCATCTCCCGCATCAAACGAGTATGCCACAAAGACTTTGCAACCGCCCTCGCCCACGAACCCGACATGCCCCTTGCTGACCTCCTCTCTCGCATGCTTCACCACGATCGACGACTCCACCCCCACCACCAGCCCCCGCCCGGCACTTCCCGCACCCGCTTTTTCCACCACATCACCCCCGAAGACACCACCTCCATCACTTCCTCAGACGAGTTCACCACATCTGACCCCGGCGCATCTTTCGATGCACTCGACTCTTCATCCCTCACTTCCGAGGAACTCGATGTCGTCCAGTTCATGAGAATGGAGCGCAGAGATCGCAGCTCCCGACCACCCTCATCTACCCCACCCTCCCGCCTCAAGAAACTCACCCCCGAGGAGCGCACCTACCTCCAAGCAAAAGGGGGTTGCTTCCGTTGTCGCCAATTTGGGCACCAACAAACCAACTGCCCCAACGCCGCACGATTCACCCGCCAGTCCGCCTCCACGCGACCCGCAACCTCCGCATCACCGCCCTCGGCAAGCGCGGGCCCCTCCTCATCATGAACACAGTCCCGAGGACACTAACCCGGCATCAACATCGCATATGTCGGCCTACCCATCGGTGACATCCTTCATCCCACCGATGGCCCATCTGACATCAACAATTCGTTTGCCTTCCCCCTCTCCGGCGACGCCCCCTCCACCGGATGATTCCTAAGCGTCGCAAACGCCTCCCACTGCCTCATGCTCCTCTACCCTTCCTCCAAATCCATCCACTATCACCTTCTTCGATGTTGTTGAGGAACAAGCCCGACACGATCGGCTTGTCCGCTTAGGCAACGAACAACGCCGCCTCAACACCATCATCTCCACCGCCAACTCATCTCGTTTCCACCTCAAATTCATCGCTGCCACCCTTGGTGCGTCTACAACTAAGTTTCGGGCCCTCCTCCACATTGGAGCCACCGGTAACTTCATCACCGACGCGTGTGTCTGCAAAGCCAGTCTTACCTCTACCGGTTACGACTCCCCGATCACGATTCGCCTAGGGGACAAAGACACCGCCGTGGTAGTAGACCGCACGGTTCCCGAGACCATCATGACCGTCGGAACCCTCCGCAGTCAGGTCTCGTTTGATGTCATGCACTTGATATGCGACATCGTCTTAGGAACCCCGTGGCTGGACCGCTACATGCCATACGCATTCCACCCCAACTTCCTTCGCCTCACCAACCCCCCCGACACAACCATTGACATCCCCTATCTCCCATATCCGACCT